TACACCAACTGAAGTCACTCTCACCAGACTCACTTCAATCTTTTCAAAACTGTCTACTTCTTATTTTAAGTCCTTAAATTTTCAAGTTAGCTACTCTTTTCTTAAATTTATGCTCGATTTCTACAACAGTCTTAATTAACATCTTTATATTGCTTTTAAATTCTCTCCAGTTTTTTTTCTACAGGCACCTTTCTACTCTTATCCTTAAAGATAACTGATACTTGTATTTAAAATTTTCATATATAAAACTTTTAATTAGAAAAAAAAATTATTTACATTCCTATACTAAACTAAACTAAACTCAGTGGCGCGACAGCCCATAGAGGGCCAAGGCCTACTGTGCCCATCTCAGTTTTCTTGACCTTGGACTCTGGGTTGCAGGAGCAGATGTTCCAGTCAGTGTTCCACCCTGTGTATAATTTTTCACCCATCTTTTGACTTTATATTAAATTTCAAAGAGACATCACTTTCCCATGTTAATGGTGTTCTATTCCCCATAACAAAATGTAAACAATTTCTATGATCGCAAACACAGTTAAGTGCTTTAAATCACACCATATTCATAATTCTTTAATCAATTAAATTTATAATCGACATTATTCATTTTAATAGCTTTTCCTATTCCATGCTGTTTTTAAGTTAATACCAGAGTCATTGTTTACAAACCTTTATTATATTGATTCTATCATACATTTGCTGTCTTAGTTCATTTTCATTTCTTTTTACATAGATTAGGGCCATTTTATTTATCTCTAAGTGTTTTTTTTTAATTATGTATCATTATATTATTGTCAAAATTGTCTCCGAGTGCTTTATTTTGATTTTTCTTTGCATTTTTACAATGTTTTTTCTCAAATAACAAAGCTCAAGTTAGATTTACATACTCATATATAGCTTAAGGTCATCTAGCAATATTTTGCATCAGCCTACCAGAAGATTTTGGATACTACCAACCAATGGAATACCCAGGTCAACTCATCAACAGTAGTACTTATTAATACTTCGGTTTGTTTACTCTCACCATTTTTAAGCACTTAGAAATTGTTTGTTAACATAGCGATGGCCTATCCTCTCTTTATTAGTACATTTATTGATATAACTTTTACCGGCCTAGTACCAGTTGTTATCTACTGTTGCATCTTATCTTTTTAGCACTAAATTTGATATATAGTTAACTGTCTTAAATTATCACATATGTTTCTAGTTAAATTTTCATTAGGCAACTTTTAGTACTTGTATGCCATCGCCAGTGTATCCATTAATGACTGATCATTCTGCTTCAACCAATTAAGTTTCCTCACTCTGCCTAGAGCCGCCTTCATTGTTTCCTGCATTCTATCAGGTTTTCAGCACATCTAATACGCATTTATCCTCCCACACCTCTTTTCTCTGGCGGTGACATACCTTATCAATGGAGCATCGGTTCTCAATTAACTTCTACTCTGGGTTTTCTCAGGGGCCAGGCTTTGACTCACCATTGCCACTCTTTTTAATTTGTATTTTTACATTAACTAACGTTTTTAAAGAGCTCTATTTACCCTTTCTGCTTACATATTGACTACCTTCTTTCATGGCTAATTCACAAGTTACAGACAATTTTCAAAATCCTGCAAGATCAACAAGATCCCAACGCAGAGTTACACAAAACTTTCAAAGAGTTGACTATAATATCTCACTCACAGAAACTCCTTCCAGATCAAAAAATTCTCATCGAAAAGATAATAAAACCATACAATGTCCTGATACTAATACATCACCTTCAGTAATCGTTGATCTCACTTCTGTCTATGAACATACTTCTCCGGTAACCAACGACTGCATCATCAGTGATACTCCAACTTCTACCAACAAAAATACCTCCATCATGTCACAGACTAAAACGGATATAGAACGCCTTCTACATATAATAGAGAAAAACATCAACTACAGCAATCATAAGAAAATATTCCTTCCGCAAGAACCACGATCTGCTTGTATCAACGCAATTCAACAAATAAGGAAGATAACTTCGGAACAAGAAACTCATGACTTGATAAATTCTAGAAACTTCCAAACATCTTTGGACAAGAAAATTGACTATATGCGAATAAAACTTGATGACTTTTCATTAAATGTTCACTCCTCAAACCCACTAAATCAAATTGAAGAGAATCTAAAGACCATCAACGCAAGACTCGAAAAATTAGAAAATACCACCTCTATCAATGTTGATGTTCCACGAGTAATAATACCACCAAAACCAATAATAGTAAAACCACAAGAAGACTGCTCCACAACTGATATTGTGGAAAGGCTGATTCAGGAAGAACCTAAACTGCCCGTGAAAAAAGTCTATAGAAACAGCAAGATGCTAGAACTAAAGTTTCATAACAATCAACATAAAGAAACGGTCCTCTCAACCTTACAAAAGACAGGCATCCAATATCACGACAAAGACGTAAAGTTGTTCTCTCTAATTCTTCTTAACACACCTGTCACATTCACAGAAACTGAGATTATTAACTTGATTAAAATCAATGGCAATTTCGACCCTGCCTATGATATCATCAAACTGACCAAAGAAATCCCACATAAAAGAGATAATTCTAAGAGACACATCATCATAAGAGTCAACAGAAAACTCTCCATCAAGCTTTTGAATCTTAATTATTTCTACGCTGGTCTACAACGTTGCACAATTAAAAAAAGACTGGTTTTATTAAGGTGCAGAAAGTGCCAGACAATAGGTCATCACCAAAACACATGTACTGAGTCATACTGTTATTGTGAGAAGTGCGGATACAAAGGTCATAATATCGAAAATTGCACAGAAAAAGAAGAATTCTGCATAAACTGTCACTCATCCTACCAAGACTCCAATTTAAATCTGGACTGTAATCACAGAGCCTCCTCACCTTCCTGCCCAACTTACTTGCACGAACTAAAAGAGCTACGTCAATCCAATCAAGTCTATACACATCCCTACTAAAAAGACATATATATATATTTGTTTATTCAGATTTCTCTATATCTAGTAATACTTTCATCTCTATTAGTTTTTTTTAACGCTATTTTTTTTCTTTTTTTCTTATTAATTTATTTTTGTTCGTCGTATTTTTTTGTTCGTCTTATTTCTTTTTAAATTCCACACTTGCAGTAAAAAAAAAAAATAAAAAAAAAAATATTTTTTAAATATCATGTTATATAGGCTGGAGTGGAGCTGGATTAGCGGCCAAGTCTTGGGCTATATGGTTAAGGGTTTTTCATAACCTAGGTACATGCCCAGGGCTTGGAGGAAAGGAAAAAAAGTCAGGTGGTCAGCCGAACGCGGAACCCCCAGTGTTTAGTTCCCAAGCATGCTTGGTACTCATTTATCGACCCACTGAAGCGATGAAAGGCTGAGTCAACCTTTCCCGGCCCGAGGATCGAGCCAGGGACCTGTGGCACGACAGCGCGAAGTGCTACCGCTCTGCTGCCCAAGACAAAAAAATCAAGATGGCTTTCCATTGAAGAACCAACTTAAATATGATTGTAACCTACTTGAATTACCATCAAAAACCATCATACAGCTTGATGGGACCACCAAACCTTCTCAAGGTAGGAATTGGCCCCTTTCAAGATGGACCAACATAGCATTCCCATCATGTCATGATGGATTTTTGTGATGGGCCAACATAGCGTTCCCATCATGGCATGATGTATTTTTATAATGGGCCAGCATGGCATGCAGTATTTTTATAATGGGCCAGCATAGTATTCGTATCATGGTGCAATGGTTTTTTATGTTGGGCCAACGTGGCATACCCATTATAGTATGCTGGATATTTATAATGGGCCAACATAGCATGCCCATCATAGTATAATGGATTTTTAGAGGGGCTAAGGAAAACCCTAATAACAAAAACAGTTGTACACTTGTTCAGTGAAATTTATTACTCTCTTGATGATATTTTATAATGATCTTAGTAGACAATTATATTAAAAAAAACACAAATAATCTCATTTTTTAAGTCACATACAATTTAAAACTCAAAGTTAATACTTTTTATAATTTTTTTTGCTCGCACACACAGAAAGGAAATTACATTGTTTATTTTTTTAGTTTTAGATTAATATCATTATACTTTTTTTTAAGAAGCAGTGTGTGTGTGTGATTAATCCCCTCACTGTCCAGCGGTAGCTAGACATTATCAATAAGTCCATACACTCTCAAAAGATCCAGGGCAAGCAAAGGGTCCGTTGCCAAAGTCTCCTTTTGGAAGACAAGCCAGAATGTGCTCCGGGGAAGCACTTTCCACTCCGCACTTTGCACAAACCGGGAAAACCCTGTTGCCATTGCAAAAGAAACCACTCCTCAGGTGGCCGCTGGCAAATCTCGACAGCGCCGTCTGGTCGGCTCTATCGCAGGAAAGGCCAATGGAGCCCCCAGGACATCTCCGCCAATACCAATCATGGGATGGAGGGACCCTCCAAGACTTTAAGTCATTGTTTTTCCTGATGGAGTAAAGCTCGTCAAAAGTCAATGAGGCAACTGAATATAATGACTCAACCGAGCCCTGTTTTGCCAAGTCGTCAGTGACCTCATTGCCGTAAATCCCCACATGCGAAGGAATTTGTGGGGTTGTTTGGTATCTTTGTTAGAGTCCCCACTTAAACTCTAAGAAGAAATCTAACTCTAGGAAAGCGTTCCACATGAAAATGTTTCCGAGAACGGGTTATAGGTTTCTTCATAAATAACACTAAGTTTAAATAAATAACTATCTTTATTAACATTTAGGAAACTTGTAAATTTAACTAAAGCATTTTAACATATATAAAACTTAACCACTTTAACATTGAGGCAGCATAGAAAAAAACTGCGAAAAGGTAACCGGCGAGAACATGCCGGATTGCTATCTAGAACCGACGGGGAGAGAGCAAGCTGAGAGGATGCGGCCAAGTTATATCCAAAACATACTGTGCGCATTTTGCTGATTTCGCCCTTCACGCATATCTCCATTCAGGTATGAGGTTTACGTCAATTACCGACTGCAAGCTACGTAGTCCAACGTTAGAGATTCGTAGTTCGGACTTCGCATTTCAGACCGCAACGCCACAGGTACTCCCCCTCCAGTCTGAAAGACGAAAAAAAAAACAATTACAACAATGTAACAGTAAACATGTATGCAGTTATAACCATAAAATTGTGCATGCAAACATAACACGATATACAAGCATTAAGGTAATAAAAAATGGACAGTGCGTTTTGAACGAAGTTCTCTTGCATTGTCAACTCCACTCAAAATGTAAGCTGGTTTTAGGCGGTTAATTTCTACGTTAACCTCTTTATCTTTAATTTTGAGCTTATAAAATTTTTCATTACGCTGTATTACTTCATAAGGTCCATCGTATGGTTGCTGTAAGGGCTTGTGCACGCAGTCTTGTCTAACAAAAACATGACTTGTCGATAATAAATCCTTATGCACAAAAATGTCTTTGTGGCAGTGGCGAGATGTTGGAGCAGGACGCAATCTGTTCATATAATCCCGTAAAACCTTTAGGAAATCATGATACTGTGGTAAATCAGTTGTATGACGTCTAAAAAATTCTCCAGGCAGTCTTAAAGAACAGCCGTAAGCAAACTCTGCTACTGAAACGCCGATATCAGGCTTCAAACTGGAACGAATGCCCAAAAGAATTACTGGTAGAACTTCACTCCAGCGGTCAGTAGAGTGACATTTGATACCGTTCTTGAGTTGCCGGTGAAATCGCTCTACGATTCCGTTTTTTTGCGGGATCGTATGCTGTTGTCCGTCTCTTTTCGCACTCAAGAAATCGAGCCAATTCTTGGAACTGATTGCCTTCGAACTGTGTGCCTTGATCGGACACTATTACATCTGGTACTCCGAAGCGAGCTATCCACCCAGAAAAGAAATTCTCAGACACTGTATTTACTGTCTGGTCTGGCATTGGAAATGCTTCTGGCCATCGACTATATCTGTCAACACATGTCAGACAATACCTGTATCCTTTAGATGGAGGTAATGGACCTACTATATCTATGTGGACATGGCTGAAACGACATCGTGGAAGTGGATAAATACCTGGTTCAGATTTTGTGTGTCGTTGAACCTTAGACTTCTGACACTGCAAGCAGGATTTTGTCCACTCCGAGACGTCTTTTTTTTAAGGAATGCCAGACAAATCTTTGTCGGATCAAGTCAACAGTTGCCTGCACTCCTGGATAAGATAAGTTATGAAGATTTTCGAAAACTACTTTTCGAAATGCTTGAGGTACGTAAGGGCGTACCTTGCCAGTGGACGTGTCACATCATAGTTCTAAACCATCTGGCGTGAATACGATAGGTTTGAGCTTCAAAACCTTTGATCGTCTAGCCTCATGCAACTCATCTCCAGAAGACTGTGCACGTGCCATTTCCTCATAATTAATATTATCAGATATATGAATTTCAGAAATTCTGGAAAGTGTGTCTGCCACTAAATTTTCGTTTCCCGAAATGAAACGTATATCTGTAGTAAATTGAGAAATGTATTCGAGGTGTCTTACTTGTCGAGGCGAGTTATTACCTTTATTTTTACAAAACGCGTACGGCAATGGCTTGTGATCAGTATAAACGCAAAATTTTCGTCCTTCTAACATATGCTTAAAATGCCTTACAGAGCTATAAATTGCAAGTAACTCACGATCATATGTACTATAGTTACGTTCCGTAGTTGTAAGTTTGGGTGAAAAAAAAGCTAATGGTTGTACAATATCGTTATCAATCTGTTGCAAAACTGCTCCAATGCCAATATCTGAAGCGTCTACCATTAATGTAATGTCCGCATTCACTGTCGGATGCGCTAATGTTAACGCATTCGCAACGGATTCTTTACAAGCGTCGAAAGCTTTAATGTTTGCCTCTGACCAAGTGATCGGAGTTTTATCCTTTTTCTTCTTAGTTTTACAAAGATCGTGTAGGGGGGCCTGAATAGTAGCAGCGTTTTTTAAAAATCTATGATAGAAATTTAATATAGCTAAGAAACGGCGCAATTCCTCAACAATCTTTGGCAAGGGAAAATTTTGAATAACAGTCACTTTATCAGGTAGAGGTGAAATACCTTGAGCATTAACAAGAAATCCCAAGAATTGTAACTCCTTTTGGCCGAACACGCATTTTTCGACGTTTAAAATAATACCTAACGAGTTCAACCGCTCGAAAATTTGTTCCAATTGCATCATATGCTCACTTTCAGTTGCGGAAGCGACTAACACGTCATCTAAATATGCGTAACAAAAATCTAATACGCGTAGAATTTGATCAATAAACCTTTGAAAAGTTTGCGCTGCGTTTGATAATCCAAAACACATGCAATTGTATTCGTAAAGACCAAAAGGTGTTATTACCGCACTTTTAGATTTTGAATCCGCGTCTAATGGGATCTGGTGGTAAGCTTTTACCAGGTCAATTCTTGAGAATATAGTTTTACCAGCTAAGCCAGATGAAAAATCCTGAATATGCGGTATGGGATAACGATCCTCTTAAGTGACCGAATTTAACTTTTGATAGTCACCGCATACCCGCCATTCATCATTCTTTTTTTTAACTAAATGAATGGGACTAGACCATGGGCTATTCGAAGGAGGAACTATACCCTGTTCTATAAGAATGTCAAACTCTTTTTTAGCTGCTTTAAGTTTGTCTGGGGCTAACCATCGAGCCTTTGCACAAACCGGTGGAACTTTTGTAATGATAGAATGAGTAACATTGTGCTTTTTAGGACTCTTTAGAAAAGATTGATTTGTAATACCGGGAAATTTTGACAAAAGTCTATGATACTCAGTATTTCCGCAAATCGTAGTTAAACCTAACGATTTTCCGCGAACCCGTTTACCCTTAGCTGAAAATCTCGAAGTACTATCAACCAATTTGCGATTTTTTATGTCAACCAATAAACCAAAAAATTCTAAAAAATCTGCACCCAAGATAGGTCGCACTACATCAGCAATAACAAACTTCCATTTGAATTGCCTTTTAAAACCAAAATCTAACGCTAAGCTACGAAAACCGTATGTGTTTATATTTGTTCCGTTCGCAGCGTAGATTGCTATCTCCGTAGTCGGTTGTTTATGAATGTGTGGGTCGCGTGGAAAAACTGAAATTGACGCGCCAGTATCAACTAGAAAATTAAAACCTAATTTTCGGTCAATTATGTGGAGGCGACTGAACTGTAACCCACTATCTGTCGTCACCGAAACAGCAGCGGAATTCAGTTTTCCGAGTATGAACATTTACCGACACATTTTTTAGCATTTTTACCAAATTTAAAATGGTACCAACAATATTGCTTTTCCGAAGTTCTATTGACATTATTCGAATTCGAACGAGGCCTTGAACCGGACCGTTGACGAAATTGACTTCCATTGTAAATTTTTTGTCGAAAAGTCAATTTTTCAACTTTTTCGGAAAGTTCAGAAATTTGAGATTGTAACCCTTTTAAATCCACGGAAGAAATATTATGTTCTGTACTTGAAGTACCGAAACAAGAAACTTCGTTTATTTTATCCGCGATTTGAGCCAAATAATCAAGTTTGTCTTTACTAATTGATAATATTTGCTGAATATTAATAGGGGAGTCGCTGAATAAATAATGTTTTTAAAACATGGTCATATATTTGACTACCAGCTAACGATCTCATTTCATGTAATAGTTGTGTTGGTTTTTTCTCACCTAAATACAATTCTTGTAACAAAGTCCTCAATCGCGAACTTTCGGACTGTGTAAAACGTTTTACAATACGTTCCTTAAGAACCGTGTATGGATTATTTGTAGGTGGAACCTCAACGATATCTTTTACGTAGGAAAGAACTTCCGTATCTAACGCTGCAACGACGCAGTGGAATTTTGTTAATTCTTTTTCAATTCCCGACATCACAAAATTTGATTCTACTTGAAGAAACCATAAATTTATTTCGGTTTTCCAAACGGGGGGAGCTCGAAATGCAACTCTGGCTATTTCGTTTTCAGCCATTATACTATCAAGTTAACCATTTAAATGCCTTTGAAAATGTATTAAAAACTAGTACATTATTCAACAAAAATTATGAATAGTTTACGAAAGCATT